GCGGCACTGACGCTGTGGTCCATGTCTTGTGTCTCTAGGAAGGCGACACACCAATGCACGACGCCGTGAGGCTGAACCGCTACAAAATCATCAGGCTTCTGATTCTGCACGGAGCAGATCTGACGCTGAAGAACTGCGTAAGTAATAGCACGAAATTGAAGGATTTTTAAAATGCTTTAAAATAAGTTTCCYACCAGAGCAGTTCCATAGGTTTCAAATCAGCGAGAGACTATTGTGAACAGACTTAATTAGATCATTTCAGAGCTAATTAAAACAGAACTGAGACAGCGAAAGTGTAACTTGGGGGAAAGGGTAACTGGGAAAAGCCAGTACCTCTTTTAAAACCAGAACCCRCTATCTGCTACTTAGACAGAATCACATTTTCTATTATTTAAATTACTCATATTATATATTGAAAAGTTGTAATGGACAGACTTACTCTGATCTTAGCRTATAAGGGCAATCTCCTTTCTGTAAAGCCCACAGCTGAGGGTCAGCCCCAGCACTACACCTGGAGGGCTGGCTGTTAACCTTACTGCTGGGCAACAAATCCCTGGGGCTGGGCAAAGAGAAAAAACACACACCAGCAGTGTTGCTGGACCTCTGTGACCACTTGTTAAAAATATCACTTGACAGACCCATTCTCCCAAATCCAAACATAGCAGCAGCAACATGGGTTTTACTATTGCCAGTCAATGGTGTTGACTGACAATGAGTCAAAACTTCAGGGGACAAGGAAGGAAACAGTCACTAGAGCACTCTGTACTTTCTGCSCACCTCCCTGAAGTGGAGCCACTCCCAGCACCACCCATTACCAGGGTATGAAAGTGAATGAAGCCCCAAAGGCCAGACTTGCTCTGAYTTTGCACACAAAAATAGGTCCTACTAAATTCCTGTGTTTCATACCCTAAACCAGTCCAAACTCTTGCCTGAATTCTGAATTAAATGGAAGAATGTCTTATTGAGATTGCACCTTAATATACTTCTAATCAGTTGAAACTAGAATAAAAGAAACACCTGCATRTTCTGCTGGTCACAGCATTTGCCTAGACTCGCTGAAACCCAGGAAGATTTCATCATGGGTCTGACCAGGACTGGGASTAGATCTGTAGAGCAAAAATACTCTGACCTCAGGGGGCAAGCGTAAATCTAAGCCTGTGTGTGCAGATGCACTAAACAAGTATTTAGAAAACAATAAGGACTTGGCCATCACTGGATGAAATCAAATCTTGATGCCTCTGTTTCTTTTTACCAGGAAGGGAAAACCCCAATGGATCTTGTTCTTCAGTGGCAGAATGGCACCAAAGAGATATTCAACAGCCTGAAAAACAACTCCAAAAAGAGTGTCCATCTAGGTAAATTCTGAAGAAAGAAACCAGACCAGTCTTTTTGCTRCTTTGAAACGCTTCCCACGAACTGGAATGAAAACGTCCTTGAACATTTATCATAAATATTTATGACACTGGATTATTTGAGGTGCCTTCACTGAAACCTGCAAAAAAACCTGCAAAGARATAATTTTAAAAACCAAGTTGAGTGTTAAGATTCCACTAGCTCTAAAATAGCTTAATTTATTTCTATTTATTTATTTATTTAAAAGTAATTTTTAATGATTCTCAATATTATTTAAGCTTTTTTTWAAAAGATGCAATTGCTCTAAATGCAGTCTTTGCAAGCAACATAAATCCTTTAGTCTTAAATGGCATTATTTTCAATATATTAGCAACTTTCCTCAAGCCTTCCAATAGCTCTAAATAGCCAATACTTGCAGCTGTTGCCTGGTCTATTACCATAACCTGTGAATGGAGTGGAGGTATGTGGAAGAGCAATGGAAGAAGGTGTATGAGATGCCAAGTGGATTTAATGAAGTAGTTGAATAATGGTGTTTACACAGGGTTTGGCAATCGTGGTTGAGCTCGAGGACAGAGCTCCAACCACCACATACTCGTTTGGACTGAAGGATTCAGATATAATGTTGTGAAGGTGAGAGGAGACAGCATCAGGGAAGGGAACTTTTTTTAAACTAGACTACTACAAAGTATGATAATAGAAGAATGCAAAATCAGATGATGTATATTTGTAAATTTGTACTGCTTTTTCTGTACATTTTGAAATGATCCATTTCAGATTAAATAAACAGAGTGGTTCTTTTTATTTGGTGGAGTGGTGAGATGCATGATGTAATTCTGTTTCTCTTTAAGGGGAGTTCACATCTTGGCTGTGTAATTGTAAAATTCTTAAAGATTAAAAAAAGGTCTCAGCTGCCAAGAGCAGGCCATCCCTTGAGCTACCCTCTCTGCCACTGATAAACCCCATTTCTTACTTCTTTTGTTAAATGGAGGCACATGTGAAAGCATAAAGACAGTATTTTGAGCAGCTAGTAAAACAAAGTTACAGTTCTATTACTGAGTTGGATTTAAAAACCATAATTTCTCGGAAAGTCACTACTTACTGTGTGGAGCACATAAGACAGCTCCAGTTATCCAAGCCATGAGAGATGCCAAGGAYAGGCAGACACTTCTTCCTCTGCTTTAGCAGAAGCAGGACAATCTTCTCAGTGCTGCCAGCCACAGCATATCATGTCCCACACCATRGAAYCATAGAACCGTTTGGGCTGGAACGGGCCTCTAGAGATCATCTATCCCAACCCCTCTGCARTGAGCAGGGACATCTCCAACCACATCAAGTTGCTCAGAGGCCTGTAACCTGACCTTGAATGTTTCCAGGGGTAGGAGACCTACCACTTCTCTGGCCAATCCATGCCAGTGTTTCACCACTCTCATTGKAAAAAAATTTCTTTCTTTTCTTTCCTGTATCTTGATTAAACCAACCCTATTTTAGYTTAAACCMATTACCTCTTGTCCTATCACAATAGGCCTTGACGAAAATTCTGGAAAAATCTTTCTTATAAGCCCCCTTTAAATAYTGAAAGGCCCCAAAAAGGTGGTACTTGAGCATTCTATTCTCCAGGCTGAACTACCCCAGCTTTCTTAGTAGTTCCACACAGAACCACCTATTCTGCCTGCAGGCAGCTCTGCTAGACTGAGGCCAACAGCTTCCAACAGATGAGACTTCTCACATAAGCACCATAACTCACCAATCTCACCTTGCCAGCCATAGGCTTAACTTGTGAACACATCCTTCTCCATAAAAACTATGACACACCTCCACTTCCTGCCCTTCTCTGCAAGCCACGACTTCCCTGCTTGTTTCTGCACAATTACCTRGACACTGGGAGCAGGAAATAGAAATGACATCAGTGCTGGCTAACTCAGTCTGTTTATCATCCACCCAAGCAGCAGTTCAATTGTTCAGGCATCCAAGTGGCCACAGCAATGTGTTTCAGGAAACTGGGGGAGAAGGAACTTTTCAGTCAGCCCCTGAAGTATTGTACCTAAATAAAGTGCAAAGATGCAGTTTAATTTTTTCAAGTCAACAAGTAGCAAGAAGGATCTCAAGCATTCAAAGCATCCTTCTATATGTTAGTTATCAAACAATTTCAGTCAAGCTCAAGGGTCAAGGCAAGATTAATGTGTGATTCAGAAAACTGCACCAAACACAATTTCCTTCTTCTCTAGTTACAGCATCATTTGAGAGGCAAGTCTATAAATATCAAACTACTTTACGCATACATATACATACATACACAAACACATAAAAAACTCCTCAATACCTATAATAAAATTGACTCAAGTCACAAAATTAACAAGGAATAACATAAAGGAAACCTATTTTCTATTTGTTGAATGAAGCAAAAGCTGTTGTGACTTACACCAGCATTATATAGAACCTATTTTGCTCAGTACAGTWACCAAGAGCTCAGAAATTACTCACTGCAGGATTTCTGCTGCATTTTACATGTTACAATTTCCACTTTTCAACTTACTGTCACGCAACTACAGAGAACTGGAATATTCACAGTAGAACTGGTTCAACAGTATCTTAGTACAGTAGATGATGTAATTTTTAAATTAATTTGATCAAAAGAGAAACTTCAGTCAACATTAGGAAGAGCTCTGAAAATGYTCTGCTGATTATAGATCTGTTTGGCTGGTTTTTTTGGTAGCCAGATTAGGTTTACTGAGGCATTAAAAGAAAGGAAAATGGAAAAGCAAGAGGCAGCAAAATGAACATGTGCATAGGCAGCAATTCCAGAGCAGGACTAGGTGAGATAGCTCCTAAACTGCAACATCCCCTGCTAAGCACACATTCTGYGTAACCTTGGGCACTTCCTTCCCATCTCAGGTAGCCATCTACTGGTACTGTTTGGTTTTAAGTGCTGCAGGATGCAGATGGCCTTTGGGACATGTATCTGGCAGGTCCAGTCAGTCACTCCTCCTGCAACCCAATTCCAAGACACCTCCCAGCAACTGACTTGTCCTAGGATCTTCATTATAGCCATTGATCACAATACTGAATAGGAAGCAATTTTTTTTTTTTTTACTGCAYTACTGTTCTTTACAGGCCACTTGGAGGTAAACTTCATCTACTTGTGGCTGTCTAGAGATGTGTTTAAAACTTGAGAAACCATAAGAGCTAGGCTCTGAAGGCATATGTTCTTAGAAATGTTTTTAATAAAAAAGGAATGCACACGTACAAGGGAAAATTTCCACATTAGAAATGTTCTGTTGAGTTTGCACTAACTCCAGGAGATCTAASGCAGGGTGAAAAGTCAGTCTTCTGACCTTGGCCAGAAGCCCAGCATGACCTTTCAGATGTGGTGAATATCATTCAACAGTCTCATTCACACAGCCTTCCTCACTTCAGCACAAGAAGAACAGTTCTTCTGCAGGCTAAGCATGATAGTAAGGGAAAAATTAGGTTGGCTGGAGGTTGGAGGAAGACTCAACACTGGGTAAAGAAGAGATAGAGGCTCCAGTTGACAATTGGTTCAGTCCTCAGGCTTGAGTCTTAGCTTTTTTGCAGACCGGCACTGGTGTTTCTTCCTCCTCAACCTTGCGAGGCTTCTTCACCGTGTACACCACGCCACAAGCAGTCTTTCGAGTTTCTGGAATATGCAAACAGAAGCTGCAGTACCAGTACCTCAAATACTCAAATAAAATGCATTTATTTCATAAGGCATACTCAGTTCRGGTGTCCATGCCCCAAAGCACAGGTGGACATGTTGAGAACAACCAGCCAGTTGGAAGCCATGCTTCCAACAGCATGGAAGTAACCTGCATGGACAGAAGCTTGGGATTCATTGCAGTACATTGCAGATTCATTGGAGTGGAGAAACTACTGGGGGAAATACAAGGGTGAGAATAGGACTGTAGCACACCGAGGAAAGCTGAGGTCTGCAGGGGCTAAGGAGCTGCAGAGACAACAATACCATAGGCAACTAAGCTTAGTGAGTTCAATCATCACAGAAGGACACATTCTTGAAACACTGTCAAAAGCATTTCTGAGGCCAATGTACTGTTCTTAAAAAATATTAAAAAATGCCTTCATACATCCAAGACTTTTAGGTATATGGGCACAGCTATACTGAGCTACATTGGCAGAGGATACCCTACATACCACAAAAGTGACACTATGGTATTCAAGATTTTTATTTACTGAACCCTCAACATGATCATGAAGTACTGGCACCAAGGGAAGATAAAACACCCTTGCCACAAACTCCTCTTCACGCATTGGACAGAGGAGCTAAAACCCCGATCTGACTTGCTTTGTAAGATCTCAGTCTTTTTTTGAGAATATCCATCAACAAGMGCTTAGTTTAACACATGCACATTACTTAGAGGGGCTTGCAAGTGCTTACCTCCATGCAGCATGGTGGCCCTGCAGTTGGTGGACACGGCTGCCTTTGCTTGGCTTTCTGACAGGCCAAACAGCAAACCTCTGTCATTGCTGCTCAGGATCAAAGCACACAGGAAGCAACAAACAGAACAGGGAAGCCTCTCTGCACGATAGGTTTGCTTACTCTACAAATAACTGGGAATTAGCAAAGCTGTAACTCAAAGTGACATTTTGCATAAGGTTACCCAGAGGCAGCGGAATGAGGCACCCAAATCTCCTGGCTGCAGTTCCCCAGCAGCCCTCCTGGAAAGCTCCTGGCAACATTGCTTCTTGCCAGACAAGAAGCTGTACTTTTGAAAATAAAAGTCTGTCAATGCAGGAACATTTCAGATATGCATAATCAAGCAAAAAAATTACCCCACGGAAAATTTCAGTTTTGGGGGAAGGGCTCTGTCTGATACAAAAGCACTACGCTGGAGTTTCCAGCCACCTTCAGCAGGGATGACACCACATTAGCTATGTTAATTTGGGTTGAGCCTGACTGCTCATTTTGAGAGGGAAAAAAACGCTGTGCATAAAATCCTTCCAGGCCACACAGCCTCCCACACGGTTCTCATGACTCAGAGCATGCTCCTTCCCTTCGAGGGACAAGCCAGATATGTGCTTCTGGGGTGAGGAGAGGAATAAAAATGCATCTGAACTCCTAAAAGAAGGAAGAAAAGACACTCTCCTTTGTTTCTAGAACATAGCCACTTATTTAACATTACGTGTATAACTAAGGACGGGAAAACTCAGAAATCATCACTGCTCAGATAGGAACTTTAATTTTACATAAATACAACTWTATAGCTTCTGCTACCAAAAACGTGGCACATTGGAGATACCAAGCGATAATTTCTTGTTTGGTTCACACTGTCCATAGATTTTTATGGGTTTTATCCATTTCTCCATTTACACCCACATAACATYAATGCATATCACAACAAAACATTCCTGTAGCTGAACACAAACATGATTATTTACAGTGCCTGCTCATGCAACACCATGACCAAGACCTGATGCCCCTTCCACACATACKCAAAGCCCTGATTCACTGAATTGGTCACCAACAAGTACCACTGTACAAAGCTCAAGGACCGTAAACGACGAAAAGAATTTCCAAACCACTTCGAACTTTCAAAGGTTATTACTATCTGCTGCCTTTGACTTTGGGAAAGGATACAGATTAGCCACATCGTAAGGACCTCGGAGTTCTAGTGGCTAAAACAAAACACAGAAGTTTAGATAAGTGAATGCCCTCATTTGCAGGCTGACGGTATGAGCAGGATAGCAAGTAACTGAAGATACACCAGGAAATCAAGCAAATACCACTATTTTGGCAAACAGAGTCAACA